CAGTGTAATTGTCTCAAATTTAATTTGCTTTTGCCATAATTTAAGATAATTTTTTTTTTAAATTGTTCAACAACTAACTCACATTTGGAAAGGTCGGTATAATTATCATCACTGAGGCCAGGAAAGTTTGTTTCTGGAAGTAACAGAAAGGAGTTTGTATAATGATTACCCTAAATGGGCCACTAAAATAAGCTACAACGGGGTCACAAAAAGTGACATCACAGATGCCACTGAAGTAGAAAAACCCTGTCAACCTTTAAAAGTAGAAGCTTCCATGTTGCCTTGCAATCTGCTGAAAAAGACATTTTTGAATTTTTTTGAGTGAAGCACAAACAGAGATCCAGCACACTGGGGTTTTGGTAGCTCAGAGAAGCCCCAAAGCCATCCCTCCACCTTTACCCATCCTGCACTCTTCCCAAACAGCTCATTCCCACACCCCACGTGGACAGCAGACATGAATAGCCAGAAAAAAAGGGACACAAACAATTGATAGGCATGGGCTGAGCTGCATGGGAGCCCCCAGGGAAAAAAAAAAAAAAAAAAAAAACAACAAAAAAGAACCAGCAGAGAATGCAGGCTGAGCCATGGCCACATTTTGTGCCACAGGAGACACATCCTGGCTGGTCACCCTTTGTTTTATAGGTCTCAACAGAAATCTAAATCTGTTAAAGAAAGGTTCTACAGCTGACAACGGCATAAAATTATCATTTGTCATAAGATTTCAAAATAACAAAAAGACTGAAGCTAAATTTTGTGCTCTACGGTACAATGTCTCCTTCAGAAACTCTACGTGAAATATGTACAGAAACAGAAATAAAGCATTAAACAGAATTAAAATGAAGCTTGCTATGTTTGCAGGCCCAAACCTGGAACTTTTAGACGTGTAACATGAAGAGTGAAACGTGGGCTGACAAAAATCACCCAGTGGGACACACCACAACAACCCCTTTGTGTATCATGGGAACGGGAATTTAAGAGGGGGGCAGCAGGAGTCGATCCCTGAAAATGCCCCTGCTCACAAATGGCAGAGCTCCTGATTAACTCCAGCGGCACTCAGCACTTAATTAATGTGCTCAGCAATGCTGTGTGGCACTGCAGTGATCAGCCTGTCACAGGCTGTCACAGAGGACGTGACACGGTGTCATTTTCTGCCTGCTTCAAGTTCCCGACAGCTTTGCACGTGATCGTACATCACAAGTGGATGTGCACACAGAAATTCCTGAGCAGCTGCACCCTGTGGGGCTGTTCTGGTAGGAAATAAAGGGTGGCATCCAAGGAAGGATGGAGACTCTCCTTAGTGCTGTATTTACAGAAACATTTTTTATTGTCTTTTGCAGCAGTAGCCAGATTAAGTTCTAGTTGGGTTTTGGCCCTTCTGATTTCCCCTTGAACAACCTCACAGTGTGCCTGTAGCCCTGCTGGGCTGCCTGCCCTTTCTCCCAAAGGTCACACATCCTGCTTTGTTCCCTGAGTTCCAGCCAAAGCTCCCTGCTCAGCCAGGCCAGCCCTGCCCCTCTGGCTCCTCCTTTGGCACACGGGGACGGATGGCCGGCTCCTGCTGTGCCTTTAGGGTGTCCTTCTTCAGCATCCCCAGCATTCCTGCACCTCTCAGCCCTCCAGGGCTGCCTCCCAAGGCACTGTGCCAGCCTGCTCTCAGGCACAGTCTGCCCTCCAAAAGTCCAAGTTCTGCTGCCAGCCCTCATCTCCCCAAGAACCAAAGCCTCTCACTTCGTGTTCACGGTGCCCAAGAGGATCTCCAGCTACCCCAAACCCCAGCAGCGCCTCTCTGCTCACAAACAGGTCCAGAGGGGCATCACCACATCACCACTGCCTGGTTCCCTCACCAGCTGTGCCAGGAATTACCTCCCACACAGCCCAGCAACCTCCTTGACTGTTTTCTCTCTGCTGCGTTGTATTTCCAGCAGAAGTTTGGCAAGTTAAAGTCTCCCACAGGAAAAGAGGCATTGGTGACAAGACTTCCCATGGAACACTTCACCTGCCTCCTCATCCTGGCTGGGAGGGCTGTAACAGACTCCCAGCAGGATATCTGCTTTGCTGGCCTCCCCCAGTTCTCAGAACCCCAAAATCCAGCCAGCACTGTGTAACTAGGCCAGGCAGGATCCCCTCTGCGAGGATCACTGAGGTGGCACAGGTCAGGATGTACCACACTTCCTTACAGGAACAAGTGTTTAATAAAACATTCCTTTCTGCTGGGAGCACGGAGTTTGACACAGAAGTGTGGATAGAGCTGTCAATCACCTGAGACATCCAGTTCTTGGACTCAAGTTCATTATCTCCCACTTACATAACCAGCTCACCCTGTTACATGTGCACATATTCCTCTCTTTTAATTAAAATAGGTACTTTGTGCTCTAAATTCTAAGAGCTGAAGAGGATTTCAGCACCAGCCTCCTTCCACTCCCTTTGACCTGCAACAATGGAACCTTCTCAATTTCTTAAGAGTAGAATCTGCTTTCTAAATCTTTTATTTAATTGTAAATAATAATGATTCAAGTTGTTTTTAAAAACCTTCAGGGTTTTTCAGATCATATGCAAGTTTCCACGAAGAAAAACAACAAAAGAAGTGTGAAGGACCTAAAGTCTTAACTAATGCACACAGTAACCAAAGCAACATCTCAAAACAAGTGAAAACAGAACAAGGAGGCCAACAGGACACTGAAGTCTTCCTGCAATCCCAACCAAAATCATACATTCAATTTTCAAGTGACCTTTAGAAACCTTGAGCCTCTTACACAACTTTTAGCCAGGCTGTGACTGGTTCAAATGGTAATAGTGGCATTGATTTCAAAGAGTTTATGGCTCTTTATATATGGCTATAAAACTGAGGATTTGAAAATTGAATCTTCAGAATCTTCCTGGCCTTATTATTCCTCCAAGTGAAGCCTCCAGAGCTTCACAAAGTGCTGCTCAACACAACAGCACCTGCCTGCTCAGCCCATTAACCTGGGAATGTGTTTTGTACCAGCCTGTTAGAATTTATCTCCATGTAAAGAGAGAAAAAAAGCCAACCTGAGACTACATTAAAAATCTTTGCAGTAGATGAACACATAATCGGGATGGATTTTAAATGCTTCTGTTCCAAAGCAGTGACAAAAGAGAGATCATCAGTTAATTTGTGAGCTAGGGAGGGAAAAAATTATTATCTCATCTATGTGTATCACTGAGTCTCCAGAGAATTACTTCTTTACTGGGATACTACAGCCTGAAAGCATTCCTAAGAATAGCAACTTCCAGCTAAATGCTACCAGCAGAAGGCTGGAAAAAGCATATTTAACAGAAAAAGGAGTGACAAAAAAATATTCCAGGATATTTTCTCAGGAACACCCATGGAGGACCAGATTTTTGGCTACCATAACACAATACAAAGTTACAGCACAGGAGGACATGCTGGAGGCTAAAAACATAAAATGAGACAGTCTAAAACCAGAGGAACAGGCACAGATAACAAGACAGCATCCAAGGAATTCATACAGCTGAACTGGTCTGGATGGGAGAGAACAGCATCCTGCAAGGTACCAGTGTGGGAATGCCAGCCAAGTTACCTCATCTGGAACACTGCAGGGGATTGCCAGGGTGGCATTTGGGAAATGGTGCTGGTAAACACCAACCATGAACCATGAAGGTACTCAGTGCCAGGGATGTCACACTCTTTCACATCAGCTTGGACCAGAAGTCTGCAACCCAAGAGGAATTTGGCAAATGTCATCCTTTGTCAGCTTGCAAAAAGTGTTTGAACTGCCTGTAACAGTCACAAATACGTTTGAGAGTCTTGAAATAATCAAGGCACATTGTGCTAAAGGGATTTCAGCTTGTGCCTTGTTTAAAAAACTGCTCACAGCTATGAGTGTTATTTAGAACAGCTCAAATTCTTAGTTTCTCAAATCTGACAGCCATATAGGTTTGTACCTGCTCGTGATTATGCCTGGAAAAGCTTCAGAGCTGCACAAAAGCTTTCTGAGAAAAAAACAGCAACAGAAATTATGCAAAGAGGCTGTGCAAGGAATTTGGTTTTTCTTCTACAGTAAAGATTGATTTTGCTTTCACAGGTAAACCTTATTTTCAGGGAAAGTTCAGCTAGCCTTCCTAAAACCATGTGACTTTATTTAAAGCCTTCCAGACCCCAGGCTTAGTTCAGATGTCCTGAGTTTAACAGATACATGCAGTCTGTGTCTGTATTGGTAAATTAAACAGAGCCTGGGCACTGGCCAGGAAAACTGGGAAACAATTTTCTTCCCTGCTAAATGGCAGAGCTGCAGCCCAGCACAGCCAGAGCTTTTGCAGACAGTGTTTGGGCTGTGTAAAAGTCAGTACAGGGGCCATTCCTGTTAGCCCCAGCTGTCTGAGGACTAACAGAGCTGGACCTGGCACTGTTTGTTTCACTAGGATAGACACAGAGTCTTGGAAAAGTTTGTGAATTTTGGAAAAGTTTGTGAATTTTTGACTGCTGGGGGCCAGAAGATGCAGCAGGTCCCTCTTACCTACCCTGCCGCCATCAGCTGCTGGGCTCCTCAAGAGTTTGCTGACATTGAGCTGCCTCCAACCTGCAAGAGTTCAGCATCCTGATGGGAATAATGCATTTACAGAAGGTGCAGGGGGCTGGGACACCCAGATAAATTCACAGTCAAGGCAGAAGGCCCTGCAATTTGCAGCAAAGCTCGCCAAGGTGTCCAACGTGAGGATGATGGGTTCATTTTGGGTTGAAAATCCAAACCCATGGAAATCTGTGAGAAAATTCACATCAGCCTGGAACCAGAATTCCCCCTGCCAAATTTACAGAGGTGAGACACCCAAAATAACAAGTTTTGTTGGTGTTCAGACCAACTGATTCTCATGTTGTGCAGGTAGACTTAGGGATGAGAACAAAACTGCCTGGCACAATTAGAGCTGCAGCGTCACAAGGTCATTTGTGTGTTTTTGGGAGAGTCCCACACAGAGTGTGTTGCAGATACACCTCTGGATGAGGTGTACACCTCTGGATGAGGTGTTTTAACACAGCAGCCCAAGCTTTGATCTGTGGACAGCTCTTGCACTCCTTTAACAATCACTTTAGGGACAGATCCTGCTTTCACAATTTAATTAAAAACAAGCCTTGGAGTGCTTTGATTTTTTTTTTTTTCAGTTGCAGGAGGTAGATCAAACAGATAATGAACACAGCCAGTATCTCAAAATATCACAAACACTAAGGATTTAAAGACACTGCAAAAGAATATATTTTTTTCAACCATTCAGTGACAGCTTGACCATGTCTAACTGCATGTGCTATCCAGTGCTGCTTCCACATGGGACCACAGGTTTAGTGCAGATTCAGAATCTGCCTTCTCCTCCTATCATTACAGTTTTCAGATATGAGACCAGCTCGACAAGTAAAGCACCAGAATTCTAAATTCAGACAGAAACAAAAATAATTACTTGAATCACTTTAGGTTTCTTTTAAAAAACTATCCATATTAAAAAGATATCTTTACCTTATTAATACATTTACAGACTTTTAGCCAGAAGGGGTAATCCTGTGGAAAAGAATTGCAAAATAATACATAGAAAACTGCAAAGATGAAATTTAAAAAGATGAGAGAATCCTATTTTCTTTGCATTCCTCATTTTTGCATTTCACTACCTTGTCAACTAGAGATGACATTACACTACTCTGGTAACCAGGACCTGGTGACCTTATCCCAAAATTGGTTTTGATAAGGAAAGCCCCTGCAGCCAGGTTCCTTGTGACAGTTACACTGCCTCGGTATTGATATTCTGTGGTGCAAAATTCCCTTCTAGTTCTTCTTCCTAGTTAAAGCTAGAAAGTGTAATGAAAACATGACCCAACCCAACTGGACTGATTGGCTGAACACTGAATGTCCACTATCCCATTGTGGCTCTCCATGGGCTCGGTCAGGACAGCATCTGGCTGGCCACTGGGGACCAGCCTGCCACAGTGAGACAATGTCAAGTGCCCTCTATTGCATGTCTAAAGTTCTCCTACTGCCTTGGCTCAGCTGCTTCTCCTTTACCTCTCCGCTCGGATTTTGTATCTCAGGACAAAATAGGCAATCAGGCGCAGGGAGAAGAAGAAAATCCCAAGAACAATGAAGTCCAGGTAGAGTTTGGCATTTTCTACATCCAGTTCTTTCAGGATGGCCTCTGATTTTTGGAAGTGGCAGGTGTCGTCTTTGTCACAGTGCAGATCTTCTCGATCCAGTCCGTAGATGGAGAGGATGACTCCTTCGAAGCCGTACCTGGAAAGAGGAAGGAGGGATTACAAGGAAAATCCTGGGGATCTGGTCAGAAGTGCAACACAATCCCTGTGAGAGCTCAGCTGAAACGCTGAGGGGTTCAATATTGCCCTGACACATCTGTCTTGGGGCAAGTTCTATCCCTGCTGCAATCAGGCACGTGACATGTCACGGGCATTTTACATAAGAGGGAACAAGGGCAGGAGTTTTGCCTTTAATGCTTCCCAGTTAGTGAACAGACCAGTTTCTCCAAAAGAAAAATGTTAAATCAGAAAGCAGCATAATTTCAGCTCATATTCAGAAATTCCCCATTTAAAAGTGACATCATTATTTTGCCTTTTTTTTTTATTTTTTAAACAAGCAACAGGGATATAATTATGGCTTGAAGTCAGAAATAAGTTAAAACCAGCATCAATCTAGAATGTCCCTTCTCCTTCCCTCTGTACATTTACAGTTTCACTGATAATGTTCCCAGTATTTGCTTTTGCAAGGAGATAAACCATCATGGATCTCATGCATATGAAAGCTCCCTCTGGCTTCAGGAGACTCCACATGAGCCAGGCAATGATTTAAGGCCTCACCTTGAATTCTAAGTATTAATTCAGGGGGTGCAGTCTCATTATCTTCGATAGGAATCTGTGTAGGACCTCACTTGGCAACAAAGAGGATTTTTTTTTTTTTTTGCCTGGGTTTTCTCAGTAGCAGTGCAGCTTGGGCAGGGTGGGGAAATGGGGAATGGGAAAATTCCCCTCTCCTAATTTCAGCTAAAAACATTTCAGTCTCTAGTCTAAACTATCCCTCCAGAGGTTTCCTGGTGGGAATTGCCCCATCCTGAGGCAGCTGAGTCAGACACAGACACAGGCACTATAAGGTGCCTATGGATCTTAAAGCAGCAGCTGAAATTAGAGGTGACACAAATCCTGTGCCTCTTGTGGCAGTGCTGCTGCAAAACTTAAAAACAGGCCTTTATCCAACAAACCTATCTAGGATACAGCAGTGAATCATACATTTCCTTCCAAAATGAGGTGCTGGCATCAATCTCTCAGTTGGTGATGTCCCTATTATTTCATACATCCGCTACTGCAAAATCCGGGAAGATTTTCATGCTGTGCAATCCCACTGAATTCAAAGGCACTGACACTGACTTGTGGCCAGTAACCTGTTCCTATTTTATTTCACAAGATAAACAACTCAAAATGCAGAGAGATAATGTGGTTTCCATCACATGCATGAGTCTGTTTATACTCTAAAAGAACATACTGTGAACAGTCTCTCTGGCACCCAAAATAACCAAGCAAGCAAGCAAAGGCAAACAAACAGCATGTCCAGATGGGAGGGTGAAGGCAGTACCTGACATAGGAGATGTAGGACATCCACTGGAGGTATGTTGGGATGGTGTCAAAGCTGACAAAAAACCCAGAGAACAGGAGGACTGGGATGGCAGTAACTGGGCCCACAAAAGTTGCCACCTGTGAAGAGAAGGGACAGAGTGTCTCTCATCAGAAAGACAAAGTAAACATTAACTTGCTCTTCTATGACTCCTAGGAATAATTCTACTGCCCCCAAATTATCACAGTTTGAAATAGCAGAAAATTGATGATTCTTTTTTTTTTCCTGTGAGGGGAGAAGCAGAAGCAGAGGAATCATGGAGTAAGGCTATGCTGGTCTCCACAGGGTGGCACAGAGAGGGAATCAAGTGTTCTGCTGCAGAAATCTTGACAGCATCAATGCATATTGAGGTCAGAATCATCTGTTCTGCTGTGGAATAGTCACCTCAGCACAACTTCTGCCAGGAGTTACATGGCCAGCTTCCAGTCATGCCAACAGCTGCCACTCTCCTTCCCTTTCCAGAAATTTGGGGTTTGGGCAAGCTTTTTCCTTTCTTTCTACAGCTTTTCCGGACATGCATGGAAGAACCTTCTCCAGAGAGACACTGAGGAAAATTTCCAGTTTGTGGGGATGCAGAAACACATCAGTCCTGCAGTTCCCAGGACCTGCTCAGTCTGGGATGAACAGCAAGGGACAATCCACCCAAGCAGGGGCAGGCACAGCCCCTTCAGGTGGGGCAGGAATTTCAGAGCCTCACACCCAGGGCATGTCTGTGCTCTGGGTGAGTGGGGAGCACCAAGAACTCCACAAGAAACTTTCTGCCTGTCACCTCTCAACAAACATCCTGGGGACACAGCAGCTGTGACAGGGAGCAGAGTTAGGACAGAGCAGAGCTCCTGTGAGACCATGAAACACCATCAGTACTGTCTTAAGTTCAAAGATGTGCCTGGGGTGTGAGTTCAATTTCCGCCTGTCAGAGCTGGGGCAGTTCTCTGCTGTTCATGGGGCAGTTTTTTCTTTATCTCTCCCACAGCCAATCCTCCCTCCAGGAGATCTCTGCTCTCCATGGCCAGGGAGTGTCCCTGCAGGGCTGATCAAATTCCATCATCCCATGGGGAGATGCTCCACCCAGGGGAGGAGCCAAGCATTCCTCCCTGGATACAATCTGAGCCTGGAACAGCACAGCAGCCTTTGCCCCCTGCATTCCCAGAGGGAGAGCAGGCCCATCTCCAGCAGCCCTGGAGCTTCAGAGGAAAACTCCAGCCTTGTGCAGGATCCCTGCTCCAGCAGAAGCACAGCTGGCACTGCAGGAGGGCTGAGCCCCCATGGGATGGGACTGTGCCACCACCCTGACACACAGGGAGATGGGGCATGCTCTGACTCTGGCAGTGGGGTTTTTTTCGTTTGTACTATTGCATTTGTATTTTTATTTTTTCCCTAGTAAAGAACTGTTATTCCTATTCCCACATCTTTGCCTGAGAGCCCCTTAATTTCAATATTACAATAACTCAGAGGGAGGGTGTTTACATTTTCCATTTCAAGGGAGGCTCCTGCCTTCCTCAGCAGACAGCTGGCTTTTCAAACCAAGACGAGTACCTGGAGGGATGTGGAGGCTGCACCTATGAGCAGGCCCAGGGACTGAGCCACCAGGGATGTCATGGTGCCCAGGGCTGCGAAGAGGACGAAGCGCAGCGCGTCGGAGGGCTGGGAGGTCATCCAGTACACGATGCTGCAGTAAGCCACAGGGAACATGATCTGCAAGGACAGGCACTGGGAGTGAGCCCCTGGCAGCCAGACATTCACTGCTGCTCGGAGTGAGACAAAAACCTGGGGGGCTCCCATTAATCCACAGCTCCCAGCCTTTCCATACATGACAGGTGGAGGATACCTGTCTTTGTGCTTGGGCGTTTAAAAATATTCCACTCCCAACCCTTCACAATTCCCCTCCTGCAAATAAGCAAAGCTGGTCATGTGTTTAATGAAAGAATGTTGGGTCAGGTCTCAGCTTTTGTGAAGTCCTGCACTCTGAGAGTGCTTCTGATTCACCCCTGAAGCTTCACCATGTCACCGTGATATTTTTATGAAAATCCTTTCGCTAGGATTTTCTCCTGAGAAGCCTCAGAAAAGAAATGTAAACAATCACCTCTCTGATTGCTTTGGAATGTGGTCTGGAGATGGTTTATCAACAGGTGCATCTTTGACTGATTTCATGTGAGTTGTTTTTACTTAATGACCAATCACAGCCAGCTGTGTCAGACTATCTGTCTGTCACAAGGGTTTATTATTCATTCTTTTCCTAGCCTTCTGATGAGACCTTCTATTCTTTTAGTATAGCTTTAGTATAGCATTTTTAATGCTGTCTGTCACAAGATTTTATTATTCATTCTTTTCCTAGCCTTCTGATGAAACCCTGTCTTCTATTCTTTCAGTATAGCTTTAGTATAGCATTTTTAATATAATATAATGTGATAGAATGTGATATAATGTAATATAATGTAATATAATATAATATTTATATTAATATTATTTATATTATATATAATATAAATATATATTATATAAAACATAGATATTTATATTATATATATTATCAATATTATTTACATTAATATGTTATGTTATGTTATGTTATGTTATGTTATGTTATCAGCCTTCTAAGAAATATGGAGTCAGATTTATCCCTTCCCTTGTCCTGGGACCCACGAACACATCCACATCACCAGACACATATGGATATTTTCCCCACTATTCCAATGGATAAAATACCAGCACTAATCTTCTTGGCAAGTGGGCTTGTCATCCATGAACTGAAATGGTTCTGTTTTATTGAAGAGTAGAGCATGTACCTGAAAAGGAACATCAGCCATGGTCTTGGCGAGGTAATAGGCTTTCAGGCTGTACCAGTAGTTCAGATGCTCTCTGAGAAAGACTCCCATCTCGAGGGGAACTGCAGAGAAACACAGATTATTCAGTCAGGTTGGCAGGGTGCAATACTGCTCCACGTTAAAACAACATGAATGTTGTTGTTAAACACATTAAAAACAAGACTCACCCATGCCTAATCCTGCACTGCTGCAGTCCCAGGGTGGGACTGGAACTCTCAGGTCTCTGACAGAGCAGCAAAAGTTTCAGTGATTTGCAATGGAATATAAAGGGTGATTTGTAATGGAATATAAAAGCTCAGCCCCTAGAGCTGCTCACTGTTGAGACCATGGACCAGTCTACTCAGATGATCTGAACCTCCCTTAAAGAGGATTTTTCAATTAAAAGTGGCGTCAAAACTTGAAGAACTTGGTTATTCTTTGTGGACCAACAGGGAATCCAAAGTAACAGCACTCCCAGAGCAAGTATGAAGCAGTCCAGCCTGCAGGGGTTTGCTTCTGACACCACATGAATAAACTGATTTTATACAGAAGTAATAACTTGGAAGCTCCAGAAAAATTATTCCATTCTCCCTAAGTCCAACCACGAGCTCAGGGCAGGGCTGAGACGCACTGGGATAAGGAAAAATTCCAGCCCAGGACTGTAACACTGAACTGTCTGTGCTGAAAAAAAAACACTGGGAGAAAAAAACTGGGGAGGCAGAAGCGCCGCTGGCCGAGCCTGCTTCTGTGGGTGCAAGATTTATCCCCGCGCCTGTCTCAGAGGCAGAATCCCGAGTCAGGCGCTGTGCCACACAAAGCCAGACACATCCCAGCAGTCCAACACCCCCTGCCCTGTGCTGTGACACTGTCCCTGTACTCACAGGTGAGGACGGTCGGCATGAGCGCCGCGAACATGAGGAACAGCATGGAAAAGAAGAGGAAGCCCGAGTTGCTGAGCACTTTCTTGGCTTCGTTGCCGATGCCCAAGTAGAGCAAGCCGATGAGCAGCCCAATGCCGATGTGTGAGGTGATCCTCAAGTGCGTCAGGACCTGTGGTGAGCAAAGGGTGGCATTTTTCAGGAAGCCTGGGCTCAAGAACCAGAGTGACAGAGTGGCTGAAATCACACGGATTGCAGGAAAGGAGCACTTATGCCCAGAAAATCTTGTATAGAAACCACTGAGTGGTTTGGGTTGGGAGGGGCCCTAAAGATCACCTAGCTCCATCGCCCTGACATGAGAAATGTTCATTTCCTACTGGGTAGGAAAAATTATGAGCTTCCCAAGCAAATTTCTTTCAGGGAATACAGGCAGGAACTGCAAATGCTGCAGCCTGAAATCTCACTGTCTGACAATATCACGGAGCCACTGGCTCTTATTCATCAGGGGAAAGAGACTTTCTGACTACAAGATCAATTTCCCCAGAGCAGAAGAGAAGCAGAAAAGGTATTTTAGGCTTGTGTAGACCAAAGTAACTTCATCAAGAATAAATTAGCTTTCTGTGCCTTCTCTGCAACACAGTATTCCCACAAGAGGCTTGGAAGAACAAAAGAAATAATAACATTGGGAACAACTGCAAGCCTTTAGAGTCAAGCAGAAAAAAAAATTAGAAACAACATTGTCCTTCAATCTACGCATCAGCAAATCAGTTACAGTTTCTTCTCATCTTAATTCATTAACTTAATTAATCTTTGTTGACAAATGCACTTATAAAAAGCACAAAGGGAGAACAAGTTAGTTAGCAAAGAAGCCAACTTTTTATCTACCGATTTTCTATTTCCAAAAATGAAGACTTTAAGTAGTAACTTTACATCACATGAACTTACTATCTCTGCCATCCTGAATTTTCTGAAAAACCTAGTTTTGTGACACATCACTACAACTTCCCACTTGCTTTTCAATAGGATTAATAACTGTGTAAGAGAACTGCCAGCACAGAGGGGATTTAAACTTTGGGTTTTTAGGCCAGGTGCTTCTGAGTGCTGTGTATTGACAATGAAGATGGTAGAGTTAACAGCAAGGCTGAGAGATCAGCCTCTTCCCTTTGGAATTCTGTGACAATTCACGGACGGGCTGCTGGACAGGACCTCTGAGGTGTCCTGCAGTGCCTCACACCCAGCTGGACAGAACTTTTGGCCACAAAAGTCACCACAAAGCCAAAGTTCTTACCGAGTCCCTCATGATGGTGAGGAAAGTTCTTTTGAAGAGGATGCAGAACTGGGTTAGGCAGCTGGCAGAGAAGCTGTGGCATCCTTCTGTGGAGGAGGAGTCCTGCAGAAACACACACACACAGAATAAACCCCTTCCCCTGCAGCATCTGCTTTGGTTTTCATTGACAAAAACCCACTCACACCAGCTGAGTGTGCCCAGAGACTCCTCCACTGCGGGAGGGTTTGAATTCCCTCTGGGCTGGGATGCACAAAATACCTCTTCAGAGGGCCGGTGCCACAGGAAGGGGTTCAGCTCGTTCTCCCCAGCCACGTCTCTCTTGTAGTCAGTGTCACAAATCCTCTCCCTGACAGCCCTGACCAGGCGGCTGCTCTGGTCCCCGTACTCGCCCGAGGCCACCTCCATCACTGCAAAAACAGAAGGCTGAAGTTACTGCTGAGCAGCTACAAGCCTTGTTGTTAAATCCCCTTGATGCTGCAGCACTGACAAAACCTGATTAAAAAAAAAAAATAATAATAATTTTTTTAAATTTTTTTTTTTTTTAAGCGCAGGCTTTAAAATGCCGCGTGCAAATTCACATCACGTTCAAATGCATCCTCCCATAAATCTTCAGAGAGGTCTCTTCGTCCTGGAAGTTAAATGAACCAGTTCAGAGGAAAGGCAGTGAATACAGAAAATAGACAAAAGTCTATTTTTGTGACACTTTCCGTTTTTTTTGGTTTTTTGTTGTTTTTTTTTTTTTTTAATTTAAGAAACAACACTGAAAAAACCCTCAATGCTCTAATACCACAACACCACAGTGATACTGCTCAATATAAAAAGAAAACAAGAAAAACACTGGAGCCACTTAAAAAAGCCACCAATATTAGTTACTATGAAACACTAAAGAATACACTTTTATCTTTCACTTCCTGAACCTGGACTTCTAACAGAGAGAAATACTCACTAAACTGCACCACTAGATGGCATTCAAATTACTTTGGAAGGAAAAATAAAATATCTGATTACTTTTATTTTGAATTTTAGTTCTTATATGGACAAAGCAGGTAAGAATATATGTGCAGAAGTATAAATCACACCATGGTTCTCCTTAACCTGAAGGTGATAAAATTATAAAATACAAAATTATGAAATAAAAAAGAAATTAAGGAAACCATTCAAGCTGTCCTTACCAAAATCTGCTGGGTTGTGGTAGGTTGGACAATTCAGGCCCAAATCTCTCAAGTATGGGACAAGGTTTGTTACCTTCCCACGGTAAATGCACTGACCTTGACTTAGAACATAGAGCTGGAAAACAAGAAGAAAAGGGAGGGGGGGGAAAGAAAATGGAAGAAAAAGAAATAAGAAAAAAACATGAAATAGTCTCAACCAAGAATAACCAAGGTCTTTAAGTTTTGACACCACTTTTAATTGAAAAATCCTCTTTAAGGGAGGTTCAGATCATCTGAGTAGACTGGTCCATGGTCTCAACAGCGAAAAGAAAAAAGAATAAAAAGAAAAGAAAATAGAAGAAAAAGAAATAAGAAAAAATGTGAAATAGCATCAAAATACTTGAACCTGTTGCCTGATAGCATCTCTTGTCCCTGTGGGAAGAACACCTTGGGAAGATCTGTCACCACCTGAAATTAACTTTGTATGGAATCACAGCAAATGGAAAATTTAAAGCCCGGAGCTGGAATTCTGCACACGCTGCCTGCAGGACTTCAAACACATTAACACAGAAACACACTCACTCCAGCCTTTGGCACATGCTGAAAATAGGCAAGGAGCTGGAGAGCCAAGCCATCTAATTTCCACACATTGTGGATATTTTGGGCTGGGGAATGCAGGAGTGGAGGGAGAGCTGGGCCAGCACAGCAACAGCAAACAGCTCCATCACTCTCACTTTTAGCCACGACTTGGACTTTAAATAAACCTCCCTGCCAGACTGGCAATCTGCAAGAGTTTGTTCACCTGTGGTGGTGGAGGTTTTCTCCCAGCTCTCACAGGACTAATCTAAATCCTCTAACAAGACTAAAATACATTTTTTATCTAATCTGAACACACATGGTCCACAAGCCATTGTTGGCTTGGAGAGAAGTTCTCCAACTGACTCAATTTCAATTAATTTTCAATACAAAATTTGATTGTTATTATTTTCAAGTGAATTAACTCTTCTCAGTCTGCACCTCTGTATCTGGGATACACAGATATATTGCAGCCATTGACACTGCAGCTCTCCTGCTTTTATATTGCTCTGATTTCATTTACTTCAGTGACAGCCCTGTGCACACTGCTGGGTGAAGGCATGATCATCACCAGTGCAATAATCTTGATTTCACAAACCTAACAGCAGCATTCTTCACAACCATTACACGTAAATAAAGGAAACAGGCAGAGAAGAAGGAAAAAAAAACATAATCAAAAGGTATATTGTGCTGTTATTTATTTAATTTCTTTCTATCATCTGTAGCCACCAACTAGAATTATTCCTGTGTTTTGATTAAAGAGCGTGGCCTTGAAAGCACAACCACCCTGAAGTGCACATGAAGAGAAAATCTGAGAGCAATACCTGGTCAAAGAGCTCAAACAGTTTTGCACTGGGCTGGTGAATGGTGCAGATGATGGATCTGCCCCCCTGGGCCAAAGCCTTCATCAGAGAGACCACCTGAAAACACGATGCACTATCCAAGCCACTGCAAAAGAAACAGACAAGTTTGTTACCCACCACTCAAAACCAGCACATGCATTTGCTACGTGCTATCCCATTATTATCCTCTCACAAATTTTCTCTGTAGCAGTTTCATTTTATCATATGCCAACCTTATGCTTGTACTTCTCCATCAGGCTTTTAATTAAGTTGGAAGCATGCCTGAGAATGAAAAAGAGTATTCTTGAGGCTGCCTTAAGGGGCTTCTACATTTTAGGGCTGCAGGTTTAAATGCTCCCAGCTTTAATGAATAGATACATATTCATAGCTTTGCCAGCCTCCTCCCAGACTGATCACATTCATTACCAAAAGTCACATTTTAAAATGTTTATATTCAAGCAGTCTTTGCTTGAAAAAGAAAATCCATACCACAATATTTTCCCTCTCTCTTTTCCTTCCTCCTGCAGTTTGTGTCTGCTTTAAATATTATTTACAGCCCCACAATCCAGCAGCTCCAGCAGTGACCCAAGGCACCAAGAACCCAAACCAAATTATTTCTTGGCTCAAATTATTTCTTGCAGGCAACACAAGAGGAGCCTTTTCCAAGGATTTAGAGGTGAGCAGCTTTTCTGTTCTACTGTGCAGAACCATCTTTGCCAATGTTTGATTTTTGGCCTCGAAGTACCTGGTTGGTTCATCGAAGAACATGACAGGGGGGTTGTTCACCAGCTCCAGAGCAATGGCAAGGCGTTTCCTCTGGCCTCCAGAGAGACTCCCAGTCCTGGTGTTGGCACACGTCAGCAAACCAAGGGCTGTCAGGATTTCCTTCACCTGCAGGGAGCAGAATATTCCAGGTTGTTGGAGCACAAAAAACCCTCAGCCCCTTCACTGATTTTCACGGGGTTGCAAACCAGCTCATGACTTTGTTCCATCACCCACACACTTAAAGCCTTTTCCCATCTGATGTATTTATTAGTCATTTGTTAGACTCAGTGTTAACAGTTTGGCATTTGCCATTCTGACCCAAATTCTGCTTGTTTGTCCTGCATGACCTCACTCAGTAAAGAGGTGAAAAAGGAGTGGAAATCAGTTCTTCTGCAGCTGTGCATTTATGGGTATGACATCAGAAGAGCTTGGCAGCATGTGAGGGGCTCTCACACAGTGAAACCAAGGAGCTTCTTTCAACAGAACTCTGGGGCTGTCTCTAGGAGGGATCTATAACAAAAACCAGTGGTTTCTGTAGAGCAGTGACCTGCTTCATCTCATCTCTTCTCCACAGTCTCCTCTTTCAAGTGCAGCCATTGATTTCAAGTGTTTTCATTCCACTCGGAGTCAATGCAGTTGTCACAGGCACTCTCAGATGTTTGGGATTTCCTCAAGGCACAGCCTCAGGAAGGGCACAGCTCGTCCCAGGGCTTTTGGAGCAAAAGGAGAACAATCCCAGGCACTAGGATTTTTTCTGTGTCAGTGTCTGGTCGCCCTATATAAGGGAAATAGCTCTTTGGCTTCAATAAAGGCATGGACACAAAAATGAGTGAATCCATGAGCTACATTGCTCATGCAATTAACAAACTCCACCACTTCAAAGGCAGAAAGCAGCCCAGACATTTAATACTTTCACTGAAGTTTAGAAAACAGAGCCCACCATTTTTCAAAGCATCAACTGCTTGGATGGAGAGAGTTTTCCAGAAAGAATGCCTGATCTGGTGAAAACTGGTGAGACCAACTGGGGCCTGACCCTTTGCTTGTCCTGATTTTGATTTCCAGGAGTTCCCTCTCCCAGTAAGAGGGAGCAAAAAAATACCAAAACCCACTAAGCCTTGCTTAGAAAAAAGCCCAACTACCTGAATCCCTTTATCTCTGAGAAGGGTAAACAGGAGTCAGGCAGCACAAGCCAGGACAACTAGAAACATAAACTGTGGTTCACCTGAGGATTTTCACTTGTCCCTGCTTTAAAAACAGTCTGCAATCCTGCTAGCACAAGTGTATAAATTCATAACATTTATCTGGGATAAACATTTACACTCCAATTTACAACAAAAAAATGAATTATCTTCTCCTGCACAGGCCAGTAACACGAACTAGAAAATTCTTCCAACATGTGTTGAATAAACACAGCAGAGTTTTTAACTCAAAGAGCTGCTTGTAATTACAGTGGCAGTGTGAACAAATGAATTAACTTGCTTGGCCTAACTTCACTAAAGTGCAAATGAACTAAGGCTTTCAAACCACAATTAAGTTAACAGCTGTTTCTATATAAATTTATTTTCCAATAGAAAAACAACCTGTGTTTGTTTTCTTCACAACAAGCTGATTCCTGTAAGTTTCCCTTTCTGATTTTCAAGGATTCTTTTGAGCCTGAAGAAATGCCCGTTGCTCCAATTTGGAAATGAACACAAAGGACAGTCACAAAACCAGCTGATCTACCTAGGAAGTTGCCACAGTTTTCATATTTCAGGAAAAGTTGTGCTTTTCCCCTGGATGGGGTAGAGGGCACAGGTCCTAGTGCAGGTCCAGCTGTGCTTTATCTCACCCCACATGAGATGCCTGAGCCCTCAGACGTGCACACTGGAGAACCCAAGGTGCATTAACAGGGATCCTGCAGAACCTGTGGATTTGTTTCAGTAAACCTTTTACAATTTTCCAGTCTCGTACTGAAAGCAGCTTTCATGGAGACTGCAGTGAACATTCCCTCCTGATGGCACATGTCAGCCTAGAGAATGTGAATTATTCTGTCATTACAAGTCCAGGGCAGCTCAGTATTAGATAAAAATGTCTGCTTTACAGAGCTCACTTCTTGGCATCACCCAAATTCTAGTTTGATGGGCAGTGTACATACCATTTCTCTCCTCCCTTCATCTTTCTCTTGAAGTTTCAGATGAGCAGATACCTGGAATGCAAAACAATGGAATTTGATGTTGAGCTGGTCTGAAGCACAGCCACCACTTAGAGCAGATGTTTCACAGCACTCCAAGGTACCACTTAAACAACTCCTTTCAACCCAGTCAGAAAATCTGAACCTGAACTACAATGTTCCAGTCACAAGCATCACATTTTTCTGTGCAGGAAATAACTGAATTTGACTTAGGGAAAGCACCTGAAATTGTGTTAGAAAAGAAAGGCCATTCTGCAAGTCAAAGAGCTTTACAGGAGGATGGGAGAGTGACATATTCTGCACATCCAAAAATTTCCCAGGTAATGCTAGAAACACAGTTTGTTTGTGCTTCATTCCCACTGTAAGGATAACTGAACTCTGCCATTCTCCAGCAGGCAAACAAGTGAGCACAGAAATAAATAATCTCATGCAAGATGTCATCTGCTGTCCTGAAAGGCAGCTCCACGAAACATCATGATTAACCTTTATTAAAAGCAATTAAACTGTTAGGTAATTATTTTTTGTCAGAGCCTTGATTGATTAATTTTAGACAGCAACTATAATCTGGGCCAAATTCTGCAGAAGTGGTCCCGTGGGATTCTGATGAAAACACTCAAGTAAACAAAAGAGAAGCAAACCTTCTCCACAGAAAAGAGCCTTTGCAGAAAACTAGCCACATAAAAACTGGAGTGATTTCTTCTGGCCTTAAAATTTGTGAATTGAGCTGGCACAGCGTGAGCAACCTGAGCCTTGTTTTGATAACAATTTCTGAGAAAAACTGTCTCATTTCTCAACTCATTTCAGACACTTCCAGACTAACTGGTCAAGCTGGCAATTCATAAACTTGCTGACGTGATGCAAAACAATGAGAATAATTAACATTGCCTGTACATCTTGGACTTACTCTGTTCCTGGTTTTTTCCCCATGAAGAAACGGAAGAGATTTTATAAAATGCTTTTATTTTTAAAAAGGCACAAAAGAGTAGAAGGGGCAGAGAGATCACACTGAAGTGTAAATACCAATTTTCAGTCAGATCATGAAAGATGATGAGAAAGAGAGAGAGGTGAGGTTACTCATCCAGCACCCAAGCAGACAGATGGTTCCCACAAAGGCTCATTTTTGAAGAATCTCAGGTTCTATTCTCTACATCTAAGGAGCAGACACTTAGATCTCATTCCAAATCATAATGCTGGGCACGGGGTGGAAATTATGAAGCCAAAGAATCCCTAGAAGGATGAGCCTGAAATGCAATTCAAGGCATCACCAAATTCCAAGAACTCTCACTGAGCGGGATCCGACAGGGATCCGACATTTGCGGCACCGCCAGGAGCAGGACCAAGGGCACAACACAAACCACTCTCCACTTTCCCCTGCTCAGATAAACTAGAGCAAGGAGCAGAGCTCACCATCATAGCCTCCTGGACAGTGAGGTGAGGAAGGAGCATGTCATCCTGCATGATGTAGCAGGAGACCTTGCGGAAGGAGCGCAGGTCGCGGGGCTGCCCGTTGATGAGGATTTCTCCTTTCATTCCCGTCTCTCTGAAACAACAAAACAACCAGAGGTGAGTGAATCTCACCGTCGCTCGTGCTGCCAAACGACTGAGCACCTGGAAGCCTCAAAGTAGTCATTGCCACTGTGAAATAAATTTGGTAGGCTGGGTAGAAATGAAATTATTTCCTGTTGGCGCTTACTTTCATACAAAGCTTCATGTCATGATGCTGAAAATTTTACTCAAAATGTGTGCTGTTGTATATAAATCTGAAGAACTATCAAGAAATTAAAGCTGGAGTTTTTTCAGGTTTCTCTATCCTGTTCCTTGTGTCCCAAATGACGAGACGGAGACACCTTGTATGGCCATACAAGAGGGGATTTATAGAAATGAAACTCAGCCACTGCATTTTGGTGAGGAAGACATCAACATTATGAAGTGGTGACTAAAAAGAGTCCATTTTTCAAGTGTTTATGTGATTTTAAAAAGACATCACAAACATAAGACACTGAGTCAGATTTGTTACGCGGCCAAAAAAGGAGATTTACTTTACATGTGTGTTTTTTGGATTTTAAATTGCTTCTTATTTTTGGATCAGACCTGTTAAGAGATAAATCCCAAGTGACCAAAACACGACACAGAGGAAAAAAGATAAATCTTAAAAAGAATCCAATTCAAAACCTTTGAACTGCCTGTTTTTGACAAACTCTAGGCCAAAATTTCCTCTTCTGTTGTCTCCAAGGAGCCCTCAGCCTCAGTGATTTTTATCTTAACTTGGGATTTTCATTGGTACTGACCTGTATCCTGCCAGAATATTCATAAGCGTTGACTTCCCAGCTCCTGAAGGCCCCATAATTGCAACGAGTTCTCCACTGCTGAACTTCCCTGAAATTCCTTTCAAAAGGGTCTTATAACCTGGAAGAAGAAAGAGAAGTTCACTGAACCCTTAATCACGTCTGGGGAGCAATGAAAGTTCATTTCCACTGAATATTGATGACAAACAGGCATTAACAGGCACCTCCTGAGAGGTGCAATATCAAAAATAACTATCAAAAGCCAAATTGTGACTGGGAGCAGCAGTTCCTGTCATGACACAAATGGGATTACAGGGTCTCACACTCCTGCCTCACTGCAGGATGATTTTTAAACAGGGCTATGAAGCCTTGCTGCCATTCTCTGTGTGGCAGCAATGTAAAATACTAAAATGCTATGATACTGTAAATACTCTGAGTCCTCTCAGAGTATTTAAAATATCCAACACTCCACAGCTAACAGTCTTGGAGTAGGCTGCCCTCCAATCTCTGCAGCTTCAGTGCCAAAATTCTGCCCTGTCACCAAAACAGCAACTTCTTAGAGAGAGCAACAGCCAGGATCTCAAAGACATTTTCCTTTTTCCATAAAAGAAATGGAAAAAATGTCTTGTATGACAAGAAACTCAGCAGGAGGAGACACACAAACTTCTTCATTCTCTTGCCACGAGAACTCTCTTACCCAGAGGAACTCTAAAGGCTTTTCTAGACTGTGAGACTGACCACATAACTGTAAAAACAATTTCTAGGGAAAATTTTATAGTTAAGAACATGCAGGGTGTTTTTCTCATTTAGATTAATCCATTCCAAAATTTCATGCCACTATAATTACATCCTCAGGCAAGGATGTTCTAGAGTGACAACACCACCTCCTTCAAGCATTTCAACTGATTTCTGAGTTAATTATCTTTGCCAGTAAACCACCTTTATTAAAAGCCTTCACTCCATGTTATTCCAAGTGCAGACTGTGCTCCAGTGAGAATTCCAGATTTGGATCAATTGCATCCACCTTGCCCTGCAGGATTTCCATGTAAAGGCATAAAATCTGTGTAAGGAAGGTGGAGAGAGGCCTGAACAGCATTTAAATATTTCAGGATCTCTTTCACTTTTGTCTTTTTTTTTCTTTGCTTGCTTACTTTATTTTAATTACCAGTGCTTCTAGCTAAAGCTTTTAATAATAAAAAAAATGCTAAGTAAGGTGTTAAAAGCCAATCTCACATGTTGGCAATGTTTATGTGGTTCAATTAAAACTAAAACAGAAGGGTGGAAAATCCATTTAAATGCAGAGTCAGGGCTTGGCAATCCATTTTGCCCCCCTGGTGGATATGCAGGCAGGATGCACATTCCACAGGTAAACTATCCCAGAGCTCTGATGATCAGCACAGGATGTAGCTGGAACATGGAAATACTGTAAAAAAACCACATTGTCTACAAGCTCCTAGGAAAAAAAAAAGAATTGTGGGTTATCTTCTGATTTCTCTTTCTTCCTAACTTCAATTTTTTGTTTTCATCTTCACTTATTCTCTTTAAATTTTCTTCTTGTCTCCATTCTCCATTCACACTCCTCCTGTGCCACAAGAGAGCAAACTTTGCACCAAAAACATTGTCGTGCTGCTGTGGGGTCTCCCAAATCCACTGCAAACCCTCCTTCCCAGCACACCCAGCCCAGGGGCAATGCAGCAGCCACAAAACCTCTCCAGAAATATCAGATCCTGCAGTTTTCATGGCAGATGTCCTAGAAAATGTAACTGACCACATGGATGAAAACAACAATTCTCTTGAGTGCCTTTTTCTTTTTTAAACAGGCCAGTAATTTTTCACGATAAATCTTGCCCTGGACCTAGAGGAAACAACTTGTCTGGAGGCCAGGAGGTAGCACGGGTACAAAAATAGCAGAGTGTCCACACAGCCTGTTTATGGCAGCAGTGCTGAAAAGGAAAGCAAGGACAATCTCTAAAAAGAAACAGTGAAAAGAGAAATCCACGGCACCCCCACAAGGTCAAGCAGCTTGTCCTTCACACCAAGGCCCCCACCCACAGCAGCATCTGAAGGCAAAGGGCAAGGAACAATCAGGCCTTTCAGACAATATTTAATAAACTGCATCTGCAGGAACAATGTCCTTCATTCTCCCTCTTCAGTGTAATGAGAACCTGCTCCCTCCCGACCCTGTTAAACCTGTAAGAGACTTAAACATTAGAATGTACCACCAATCATTTGCATTATGCACCAGGCAGTAAATACTGCACAAGCTCGTGAGGGAGGATAAAAAATGTACACTGCCATCAGCGAGGGACATGCAACCTAAAATACAGGCTCAGCAGCTGCCAAGATGTGCAGCATAGATATCACTGCCTAAAACTGAAACCTTTCCTCTCCCTACATATGACTGTGAGATTTAACATTACACACATTAAAGTCACTTTTCCAGTTTCACAAGCGATGATGGGTTTATCTTTAACTGCACTATCTTCCCCCTCATGACCTTCACGTGTTTCTGTCCTTCTGACAGAGTTTTCCATTTTAAGTATCCTGCACACCATGTTAAATCAGAGCAGGACTCATCACTGAGACACAGAACCAGCTTGAAAAAGACCTCCAAGATCATCAAGTCCAAGCTTCGACCGATCACCACGCTGTCAACTAGCACAGAGCACTGAGGGCCACATCCAGTCATTCCTTGGACACCTCCACCACCTCCCTGAGCACCCCCTTCCCATGCCTGACCACCCTTTCCACGGAGAAATTCTTCCTGAAATTCCCAGCAAGTCATTTGCAATACAGTAGAGAAATATGCTTTAAGAAGAAATTTTTAAAAAGCCCCAGAACTATGAATATTAGATTAGGATCCTAATCACTGGCATTTTAAGTTGCTACAAACTCAGACTCCTCTCCTCCTTTGGCTGGAAGTGCATAATGAGCTTTATTTTTTTTTCCATTACAAAGGTTAATTTAGCAAACCCACGAAGAAAAGATTTGACACTGTGGCAGGAGCGTGGTGCCCCAGTATAATCCTTTGTGAGGAATTAAATTCCCCTGAGCAGCCACAGCCTCCCCTTTCAGAACATCGAGGCTAATCTTCAGCTGAATCAGTCGACCTAAAACTTCTATAGGGGGCCACGTGTCCTTCAGGAGAAGCAGATTATGCATTTGGAGGGGATTGAGCTCTCACTGTGAGCAAGTGTAGAATTGTGACTTTCTCCTTTTTCACTTCTCCTAAAATTGTTTCAATTTCCAATGGAAATCAGCCTGGATCTTTCACTTTTCCCATGTCCCCTCCTGAAGTTACTGTGACACAACCTTTAAAATATATATATTCAGGGGCTGATACCCGTGGGAATTTTAATATCAGTTTTCAAGAGCTACTTAAAATACGGGTTTGACATTAACACGCCGTCACGAACCAGAACAACCCCTCAGCAAATTTCTCAGCCCAATCCCCCAAAAACAGAATACACCAGAAACAAATCAAAACTAAACCAGAAAATTCTAACAACACAAAACCTTTTTTGGCCTTAATTTCACCTCACATTACATTCTGGAGTCCAAATGCTTCTCCAGAGAAGCAGAATGCGTTTTGTTTTCCCACGTTAGGATTTCCCATGAAATCAAACGTGAGGCACTGAGGTATTTGCCCAGATTCACAGCTGAACCACCTGCCCAGAGCTCCCTTGCAGAGGTGGGATTCCCTCCCTGCCTGGCAGCAGCACAGAGCCCACAAAAGCCCCTTTTTCAATAAATGGACAGAGGTGACCTCGTGTCGAGCCACCAAGGGAGCTCTCCTTGCTCAAATCAACAAAATTTTTTTTACTACTGGAATCAGCAAGGGAGAGATGTTGATGGTTTTATCTGCTTCCTCACGGATTTCACAGAGATTTATGGGGAGATCCGGTTTTACCATTCTCACAGAAATTATGATTAATCTGGAAAGAAGCAAGCCGTCCCCCTCCTCATCCTCAGGGCAGGAACAATGCTTCAGGATGTGTCTGAATCAGCACCAATGAAAACATAACCAAAACCCACTCCTACCTCACAGTGAATTTCCTCAGGTAAACACCACCTCTAGGTTTTTGACCGAAATGCTTCATTCATTTGCATTTCGTTGCCAGCAACCCTCATTTGTTACTCAAGAGAAACGTCACACAGACTCGTGGAAGTTTCTAGGTGCTCTAACCCATTTCTGCCTCCATCAGTGGGCACCCAGACCAGTCTCAGGTCCCGGGTGAGCACAGCAGGCTTTCCCTGCAATTAGAGCAGGATTTGCCCTTCCCAAAGTATTTGAACTGCTTCTCTTTCATCACAAGCTCTTCTGGAGGCAGGAAATCACTGCTGGTGCCCCGCAAGTGCCACTGGCCTGAAACTGCTCAAAGGTTTCTCAGAGCCTTGACTGAAGCAAAAGGTAACCGGGGAAATTTCAATTCAAGCAGCGCGAGTTTGGCAAAGCCACAAAAAACTGGAAACTGAGCCACAAAGAAATCGGCATTTGGCACTTAAAAATCAAAACCAGAGACATCATAACCTGCCCTTTCCACACTCCCTGCCAGGCAGAAATGATGCATTCCTTTATTAAAAATTAAATAATTGTACAAGGACTATATTTCTGCATCTTTTTGTGCTGCTTTTTTTTTTTTTAGACAGGATGTATTCCTGCTGAGAAATATCCAGCTGGAAATACAGAAGACATCTCTGGCAACTACTGTATTACTTACCTGTCTTCCTTTAATGCTTTCAACAAGAAACATGCTTTTTAAACAGCAGTTTAAATTTCAATCCACAAATTTGCTCTCTTAATGTACTATCAGCCAAATTGTTTCTTAAATCATGACAAGAAACCACAGCAATTTCTTGGCACTGTACATTGACCCACTAAAGAATCCCCATTGTATTTTCCTATTCTAAATTTTATGGGCTCAGCCCCCACCTCCTCTTACATCAATTAAAAAAATCCCCAAACTTATGCAGAAGTCCAGGGAATTCTCCAGCACAAAACTGAAATGAGGGGACAGGGAACCAAGCTGTCACATCTTTCCCCTTGAGGCAGGAGCAAGGAATCCTCCTATTAAGGAAAAACACTCCTAGAAAATTCACAACTTTGCTGCTGCCCCTGAG